TTAAAACTTTCTCCCCCGCATTCACTTACCTACCCTCAGCTTCTCACGCACTCTGCCTGAATCAATTTACTTCTTCTAATTAAAGCAACAATAACCATATCCACTACTACTAATGCTGTTGGTGCTGCTGTAAGTATCACCTTTCACTGTTAGTAGCCACACGTAGTGAGCAGTTGCAGATTGTGCAGGACAAAATTGGTAGGGTGATGCAAACAAAACGCACATGGTGACGAAATTGTCGCGTGTGAACATCGGCGACAGAAATGATAGATTTGACAAGATAAAAGCATAATACAGAAAGCTGTTCCTGCGATAACGAGTTGTATTAAAGGAAGGAGGAGGAGGAGGAGGAGGAGGTGTGGAGTGGTGTGTTGAAAGGTGAGTGTGAAAGAGGTTAAATTGCCAAGCTTAAAGAAAAGGAAGCAGGTAGGAAGAAGAGGATGAGAGACGACGTGTAGTGGACTAATAGCGATCGCGCCTGAGTGAACCCTGTTTAGTGACCTGATGGTGACTATGACTCATCCCCTTCTCATTGGTTGCTGTATCAGAAGCCTGTCATCCATTCACTCATACACACACTAAGACACACTTGGCTGGCGTGACGCTAATAAACGATCGTGTTCACTGTCACCTTTTCCCGCCTTTTCTCATGTTGTTACGGACTGTTAACTAGAGCGTTGTAAGGTAGTACTTAGACCACCAGCCTCTAGAGACTTATTATCTTGGAGATACATATGTTAACATTAAAACGACACAGAGGAGATTAGCATGGCCCCTGAGCAAGGATGACACGCAAAGTCGTAGAGCGCTTCATATTTTCCAGTCTTGCTGGGTGGCTTGCTTGCTTCCATGCGCGTCCACTCGCTCACACCCCCTCCTACTCTCAACGCTCGTCTCACCTTCCCTGCCTCCCTGCCAAACTGCATATTATTTAACTCCACTACCTCTAAACACAGCGGCGCTGCTCTGTGCCACGCGCACACCCATCTGCCCAACCCACGTTGTAGGGTACCGTGCCAGGCGCTAACACATACGCACACCCCACCTGCCTTCACGCCTTCAATGTCGTGCAGTTCCGATGCAGTTCCCCACAATCGTCGTCTTCGTCGCCGTCGTAGTCGTAGGAAACGAATTCGCAGTCGCCGCCAAGTCAGCGAGCAGTAGCATGTGCATGCTACGGCACGTGTTACCACATTGGGAGAGTGCGCAAGGAATATAAATACACTTCCTGATTGCGTGGAACGAAGCCACGACATTGGCACCTCACCACCCTAACTTCGCCGCATAAACCCCTCAATCCAACACTGCTCTCCCTCCCTCCAACTCTACCTCTCTCTCTCTCCCCCTCTATCACCTGCTCGTCTCCTCGCCTCCCCGCCTCTCGCCGTCCCCAACCACCATAAATTTGACTCTTGCTTACTCCCTCACTCCCTCTCTTCCTCGACACTTCACACACTCTATCTCCCCATATTTGCTTCTCCCAACAACAGCTTCTACAACATCACCCAATAATAACACCAACAACACCACCAACACCGCCACCACTGTCACTGCGTCAGCTGCCGCTGTTGCTGAAAACTCTCTCTCCCTCATACTGTTGCTAACCAAGTGTTGTGCGCAGTTGCAAATTGAGCAGGACGGATTGGGCAGGGCGAGGCGAGGCGATGCAATGTAAGTAAAACAGACATAGTACTGAAATGACCGGCGTGCAAGCATCGGTGACAGGGATAGTAAGGTTGACGAGACCAAAGAATAGTGTCAAGTGTGTGCGTACGATGACGAGTTGCATGCAAGGCAGGAGGAAAGTGTGGCAGTGGGTGTGTTAAGAGGCAAGTGTGAAAAAGATTAAATTGCCGAGCTTATTGTGAAGGTAGTAAATAAGAAAAAGAGGGAGGGCGGCGGTCCGTCACCTCGGAGAAATATTTACTAAAATTGGAACGATACAGAGAAGATTAGCATGGCCCCTGTGCAAGGATGACGCTCAAAATCGAAAAGCACTTAAACTTCTCATACTCGTTCACACACCTACCTACTTTCAAAGCTCGCCTCACCTTCCCTGCCTTCCTGCCTACCACCATCTCATTTCACCTTACCACCCCTAAACACAGCGGCGCTGCTCTGTGCCACGCGCACACCCGTCTGCCCAACCCACGTTGCAGGGTACCGTGCCAGGAGCTAACACATACGCACACCCCACATGCATTTACGCCTTCAATGGCGTGCAATTCCCATGCAGTTCCACGCAATCGTCGTCGTCGTCGTAGTCGTAGGTGGCGAATTCGCAGCCGCCAAGTCATCAAGCAGTAGCATACTCATGCTGTGCGTGTTACCAGCTTGGGAGAGTGCGCAAGGAATATAAATACACTTCCTGATTGCGTGGAACGAAGCCACGACATTGGCACCTCGCCACGCTTACTTCGCCGCATCTCTCCGCGTTCCACCAATGCCCTTCCTCCCAACCTCTCTCCCTCTCTATCGTCTTCTCGTCTCTCGCCGTCCCCAACCACCACAGATTTTACTTCCACTCACTCCATCCCTTGACACTTCACACACTCCATATCCCCCTATTTACTTCTCCTGACAACAACTTCAACAACACTTACGCCTACTACTACCATTATTGCTGCAGCGTCTACTGCTGCTGCTGTTGCTGGAAATTCTGCCTAATGATATTAATTAACTCGTGATTAACGAGATCTCATTTACAGTGGCATTGAGTCTATCG